AGTATTTGTTTCAATCGGTTCAAAATTGACACCGATCGCTTTTTTCCCTGTAAGCACACCTCTTCCTTTCTCTTGCGTTCGATTCATTCATCAATCAAATTTGTATTCATCGAAGACTGGCACACGGAGTCGTCCGAGAGTAGCCCGTAAACGATCAGGTGTTACCGTACTTATTATGTAAGCGAACGTTAAATCAAAAAAGTAAAACAGAAGGTACCCCGTACTTTACATTTCCTATTCGGGTTTTTTTTTCTCTCTCTGTTATAGGTATTATTTTCTTGCTTTGTTTACATTTTTTCTGTCACCGACTGTGTCTGCCACCGTGCGTGGTTTGAAATTGATACACATTTTTCCCAGTAGTTTTATGCGTACCTTTTCTCACTCAATTACATCGCATATATTTATGTGACTAGTGTGAACTATGGTGCCCCACTTTTGGCTTGTATGGTCGAAGTCGAATACGAGTAACCTACTGGGTAGCTACTTGTAGACCAAGAGGAACCAGACACGGACCGGCCGTGTGACTCAACAACGATATCGGTGCTTGCTTACATTGCCCGCATGTTTCACCATTCGCGTTGATATCCTCGACATGCCAACCCAATATTGAACGACGCAACGAACGTGTGAAAAATTGCATTTTCAAAATTCCCTCAAGTTCTCTATGCTTCAGCCCACCCTTGGATATAATTATTTTTAATTTGCCATGATTTACGAGCATGTGAAGTTCCATAAGCATTTATTGAATCATCACAATCACGGTATGTGTCGTTGATAGGAAATTCGAGTACAATTACCTACGCCCCAAATAACCAAATTGTCAATTGTGGACCACCAGAAAACAAACCCCACTTCACGCGGGAAAATCTGCATTACCAATACAATTGTTATTGATAATAATGCTAATTAAATACAGCACAGAATCTCACACGTGTTTCGGTTCGGTTGGATGACCGAAGGGGGAGCGGCGTCATGTTCATCAAAATTCGCATGCGAAACATTTTCAAATTAACACCATGGTCGACTGGTTTCGTGGAAAAGGCCCCCGGTCAATGGGCGCGCTTATGCGCTTGACGGCCACGACCGGCACGCGGTTTGTTTGAGCGTACTTTAGGGTGAGTTAACTTCATAACCCCCTGCTCCCCCCCACTGCTTTATCGAATCTGTATTGAGGTCCCCAGCAACTGTACCAAATTGGAACGATTTGGCTAGGATCTAGGTTTGGCGGGAGAGTTTTAAAGTTGTTATGGGAAAATGTATGGGAAACGGAACAAGGCTGTTCAGTAGCTTGAATTAACCACTTCATTCGAGCAAATAAAATGACGTTTACTACCACTCGAACTTTGAAATGACACATTATTTTGAGATTTTTTCTTCTAGAACCTCGAGAAAAGTAGCCAATAGAAATTAGTTGGTCCAGTTTTGTGAAATCGCTGGTAGAAAGTCACGCCAAAACTGCTTGACAAAGTGGTCAATTGGAAAAAAAACTATGCAAAAGAAGTTCGCAAATTGATTCGACCTCTCTGCCTTTCGTCAAAGGCTCGTGGAAATTAATATAAGCATACTTTACACAACATGGCTCCACCCAACTTTAAGAATAAGAGGCATCCTAAATCATATATTTGGATAACTTAGAATAACGTAGGAGAAATATATGGAAATGCGTTTTTCTACTTCGGAAATAAATATAAGGACGCAATACAAACATTTATTGGCGATGAATCACTCTTACATCGTCTTCGGCGACTCGATGGCAGGGTTGGTACATGCAGCAAGCGATCGGTTAGTTCGAAGGCACTGATAATGACGGCAGGGCAATTTGGCTCTTCTCTTTAATTGGGCTAATTGCAATCAAAATCCATTTTTTTTATGCACTCAAAAAATTCCACACGTCATCATCATGTGTCTCACACTTAATTTTGCGCTTATTTCATCCATTTCATGTGTGAATCTTATGCTATGAATCATGACTGAACACTATGGATTTGAATTGTGACTCACTTGGATTCTATGTGCCTCATTTGGTGATATCAATAGCTTAACACATAATAGTTCAATATTCTACAATATTCTGCTTTATCGACTTCTACTTTACCGACTCTAAAAATGAATCGACAAATATATAAACAAAACTTCTGGAGGCCAGAGCTTTCACATATCTTCTTAATGGGTCTGATTTGGGATTCGATCATGGACTGTTGGGGTGTGCTGCTGCCGGAGTCTTTGTTCGATCTCACTGTGCCACGGTTGTTCACATATATGAGGCGGGTTGATAGGATAAAGTCACAACTCTTGTTTTCGATGTTTACCTTTCTGAGCAAGCAATTCACATCGTATTGAAATGCAAAACACTTTAAATCCATCTGTTTTGAACAGTAGTGGGATTCAATGTGCAATACACTTGAATAGATAGTGAAAGATTTTCAACATTTCAAAGTTTGAAACACTAGAAATTAATGTGTATAACACATTGAACCAAGGTGAAATACACTTAAAGTAAATGTGATTGTGCATTTAAAAAATCAAGTGTTTAAACACTTCGATCAAACGTTTGGAATTTTTTGAGTGTAAGAAAACGATTTGCAACGAAATCATTTTTGTGTCGAGTCAACTCTCAGCTTGAATTTTTTCGCATTGTGAACAGTCAAAGGAGCTTGTCAAATCAATAGCAAGCATGATATTTTGTTTCAATATCACGCGTAATATTGAGAGTGTATGATAGCAGAAACATATAATTTGATTGATGATATTTCCAACACTGATTGGGGCATAGATTATTATAAAAATACGTAATTTTTAAGAGATATTATAAGAGAACTACTATGAAATTGCTAGGAGAATCCTTGGTAATCTTGAGAAGAATCAATCTCAACGGAATTTTTAGAACAAATCCGAATAAAGTCTGAGGAGCTAAATAAATTTTTGGAGGATGCTTCAGGAATTATAAGCTGAATATCAGGGGAATTATCAGAAGAAAAAATATAGAAGAGAATTCCATAAAATTTCTGTTTTCTGCACTTTCAAGATAAACTTCAAAGGAATTATTAGGAATATTCCATGCGTAAACTTCCAAAGGGTAACTTTTCACGAAAAGTAAGGAGACAAATTTAAGCGCATTCTCGCGAGAATTATTGAAAAAAAAATGAAAATTGAAAAGTAAATATTAAGAGATTTCTGGACGGAAGTCCTAAAGTGGTTTGAAGAGAATTACGAAGGCTGTTATAACACTAAAAATTCAAGGGAATGCCAGCAAAAGTCACAATATTGTCTGTTCGATTGAAAATCAAAAACCGGGCACTGTTCAGAACTCAACCATCTCACTCGCGACAAGCACGCAAAAAAAAACATTGCCAACTATTCCAACCGCTCAAATAATCATTGAACCTGTTTTTTGCTATGGTAAACAAGTTTCCCTGATTTTATTTACTTACCTATTTGATAAAATTCAAGTTCTGCATAAAAATTCTCATTTCCCAAGTCTTTTCTAATATAGTTCAATATTATGGTGAGTAATAGGGTAATAGGTTATTTTTGATTTCAAAATGAGTTAAAACAACTTTACGTGCATTTGTTATTATTTTCGTTTCTCACAATTATTCATCGTTATGGTGGATCGTTATACTAGAAATATCCGAGAATATCTACGTGTAATGTGAAAAAACTCCAACAATGGATTCGGAAATGGAGGAGTGAGCGTTTTTATTTAGATTTAGTTTTGATTGCTTAATCAAGATTTGGATTTTTCAGTTCCTATGAGAGCGAAGAACATTTGGACGAGGAAGAAGAGAATGACCCAGATCCACTGATGATGACTGAAGAGAATACGGGAATCTACAACCTTGAGCTTCCTTACGACCAGCTGGGATTGTGGCCGATGAATGACGATGTCGAGGAGGGCGATGATTCCAACGGTGAAGTAGAGGAAAAATCTGGTGAAGAATATGTTTTTTCATTCACTGGAATATTCTGCCGTCGACTGTATCGCAGCCAGCAACGCCCAAAAGAAACAAACAGAGCTTTTGTGAATGGTAATTCAGTGAACGAAATTCTGGAATCAATTTGGGTTCAAGCCAAAAACTTAATGGATCGACAAGTCACGTTCGAGAATGACGTTCCCAGTTGGGTGGAGAAAACTGAACCAACCATCGAAGACATGCATGAGTTTGTAACTCTGCAAGACGATGTGAGAGAAAACTGTATGCAGTTAGTCTTCTGACACCACGGCTGCTGACGAACTGGCGAGACAAATGTGTCAAAATATTTGTCTATGCCTATTCATCGAGGGTGGAAACAGCCGGGCAGTACCAGCAGGTAACAAAAAAATTATTGGCGCCACAAAATCCTGACCGAGCGGGTGCCCATTCAACAAGGGATGATGCTGCGTTGGCTGATGAGCTACGCCGAAGTCATTGCCACCTCGAGGGCCATCAGAGCTCATGGCTACTATGGGCCAATACAATAAATTCTTCGCCAGCTCATAAGCAGGAGGATTTGAAGAAAGCGGAATCCCCGCCTATCGAGCTTTCGAAGTATTTTCGATGGGCTGCTGTGTCTGAAGCAGCTCGTTTACAATCACTTCACCGAGGAATGGTTGTAGCTCGGACATCGAATAGTGCCTGGTGTCGTGAACTAGATGATGTGAAGACCGAAGTTTCTCTCGGAATTTCAATTTTCCAAGGAGTAATGCAAAAACTGGAGGCCATGACTTTTCGGGGTCATACTGAGTCAGAGCTTTTCAGTGCGATGGAATCTGCCACCCAACCGGAAGAATCAAGCTTGAGTCACCCCTTGGCAGAGAAAGTCATGGATTGAACTGATATCGATCATGCATAGTAGTAATACGTAGAGAAAGGCATTTTTGTTAAGTCTTTTTTTTTAGTTCGTTTTTGTTGTATGAATTAAAATGATATCGTTATCTTTGTTTTCATTTCGTTTTTTCGGCTTTAAGAAAAATGGAACAATAAATGTTTTAATCAAGCTGATTTACAGTTTTAATGGTTTTCTTCGAAAGGTTAGCTGGGAAATACATTAAAATCCATATATTTTGGGTCCTGAGCTAAGCCCTTTTCCGGAAGAAATACACCCCCAGACATGTACCCACAATTTTCGAAAATATTGCGGCACGGATACACTTTGAAATTATTCATGGCTTCACAAACTTCCCCAAGTATTGACGCATTTTGTTGGTGGTATCTCCGAAGGTGCTTCTTAACTATCCCGAATATGATTTCAATGGGATTAAAAAAAGGACAGTACGCAGGCAGGAATATGGGGATGATACCAACAGATCTCAAGTAACGGATAATGTGTGGATCGCAGTGGATGCGTGCACCATCTAGAATCCAGATTGAATGAACTCCTGGATAGTTTTGAACGAGATTATTGTTCAACGCAAACCTACGGCAGCAGTCAAAAAATTTAAGCCTGTTAAAAGTTCCTTCCGTCCAAAAACTATCCAGCATTCCACCCAATCCAAGAAAACATAGAAGTGAAACTCTACGCTTTCTAGAAAATTCTCCTCGGTAGATCAGTTTTTGTCCGATTACCCCATAACCCTTCCTGCGTAACATGTCCTTGTTATCGAATGACACTTCGTCCAGAAACACTAAATTATACAAATCCCACCGAATTGCGAGCAATTCCTGAACGAATCTAATTATCTCATCGTCTCGTATCTGCATTGCCCGCCTTTCAATAGTTTTCCAGCTAAGTCCGGCTTCATGTAGGATGGTACAAATCGACGAAACGCTTATCGAAATTTGAAAATAGTGTTGAAATCTCTGTTTGGCTTCATCGAGAAACAGGATTGGTTCGATCCGGTAGAGATTCACCAGCCATTCTCTCTTTTCGAAACAGAATTTTTTGTAAATCCGTTCACGTTGTTTCCTTCTGAACACTCCATCACGTTCGTATCGTCCAAACCAATCGTAGATGGTAGAAATTGCCTTTCCGTAAATCGTAGCTAAATTCCTCTTCGAAATGCCAAGGAAATAATGGCCATAAAGAGCATGATACACTGTATTACAACTGGCATGCTGGCGCCGGACGTTGTGTATAATAGGATTGGCCATTTTAAACTGACCTTGCACGTAAAATCTTCTGGTTCTATAGCAATTTCCTCTACATTTTCAAATAGCAAACTCGTTTTGTGTGATGAACTGGGAACAAACAAAAATATATTTACAAATGAAAGCAGATTATAAATAAATAATATTTATCATGACCGAACTGTCATGGGTACAAATCTCGTGATGACAGTTAATTCGGGTGTGAGTCTCACGTCGCGTGTCTCACACGCGCGTTCCGATTTAGTGGGCGCGCGACAATATTATTCAGAAGAATCCTAAAAGCAACTCTGAAGACATCTTGGGATGATTCTAAAAAAAACTCTTAAGAAAATTCCCTACTCATCCTAAAACGACCTACCTTCTGGAGTTGATTCCATAGAGTGTGTTGTTTCAGGTGCAAGCTAACATAAATTCTGTCGAACTGGGCTGCGAGCTTAGCGAGAAATTTGTTAAAGTAGCCGTGGTAAACCAAAGAGAAAGTCGATGAAGAGAATCGATCAACGAGGAAAGGCCCTTTTCAAATGTTACGCGAGAATTGTGTAACCCAAATTAATTAACACATTTACCGCCAGGTAGTGGCCTTGCACTCGGAACGTGTCTTGCTTTCGAGTCAATAGGGATTTAAATGTTCCGTTATTAAATATTGGCACGAGCACTAAAACGTCCCACTAAATAGAAACCGGCCTCGAAGTAGGTACAGTACCGGACAAAAGTATATTACATCACGAATTTTGTTTTCAAATCAAAGCAAAATGTTGTCAAAAGTATTCAAGTTTTATTGGAATAATTAGCTTGATTAGATGGGTATTCATGAAGTTTGAGCAATTCTGTTATTTCTTGAACCAAATCAACTGAAAATTTACACATTTGCAAACAATGGTTTCAAACGATTCCACGATAATCAAAGCACATCCAAGCAATCTACCACCATCATCTGATAGAGCAAACTAGAGAGGGTTTAATAAAAAAGAGGAGCGGATTCAAAACAAACTGCCGTGGCAACCTATGCTTAGGTGATTTCTAGCAACACTGCCAGTGCAATAAAGATAGGCGCTGCTCGATTGGCTGTGGCTTTGACAGTTCGTTAGGCTCACAACCAAGGCAGTCCGCTCCTCTCCTATATACTAGACCCTCACTAGAGCAAACTTCCTTTATCGAATGGCATTGTTGGTTTGTGTGGAAGTGTTTTTAATCGAGAATTTTGTGTTTAAAACCATTGTTTACATTTGGTTGTTCCGCCTATTTCAATTCTAGATAGTGCTGGAATTAGGGCAGCTTTTGTAAACAATGGATTCTCTCGATGATTTCTCGAAAGTCATCGCCAAATCGACATCACCATCCAGTAGAGGAAGACTTCTCCTACCCGATGGATATGTTGGTTTGTGTAGGCGTGCCTTGAATTCCTAGAAATCAACGAAAGAAGTCATTGTTTACAAAGGCTGTTACGCCCTAATTCCAGCTCTATTCAGAACTGTTGGTCTAGATTTGTAGTCAAAATATTGATCTTTCAGATGCCTTTAATTTGACCGAAGACAACAAATCAAGAAGACTGGCAACTCTTGCATTTTCTCATACGAACGCTATGAGACAGATAAAATTGCGTCTTCTGCCATTCAAAGGTAAATGCTTCGAACGAATTTGATAGCAAAGATTACATCCTCTGAAGAAAGGCTTGTGTATTTGCTCATTTTTCTATGCGTTGCTTCCACCTTTACTCAAGCACAGCGTTATTGTAGTACTTAGATTCTGGCAAAGTTGCCAGTCTTCTTGATATGAAGTCTTCGATTTGACTAAAATTTGTTCACGATAAAAGCAAGTTATAGCAGTTTGATTGTTTTTCACCATCTAAGAAAATAGGTCAATTTTTTATTTGAACAAATCTATAGCAGGGTGGTTTAAAAAATGGATTTTGCTCCCCCAAGCTCAAACGATTCCAAATCAGGACATGGAGGCGAACCAGCCCCAGGCTGAAAGCCTCCCTAATAAAGATAAATCAATCAATCCAAATCAGGTTCTAATCATTCTCACAAAATTTGATCAAATTGGGATGTACTCATACTGCACTGGCTCTTTGAAGTTTGTATCGGAATTGCTTTGGGTAATTTTTTTTTTTTCATCGTCCTAGCCCTTTTTCATAATGATTTATAGAAAAGTCTGTTATCTGTACTTATGTGAAATTTTCTCAGCTACAACTACAACACTTTTTAATTGAATGTCATGAAAATTAGTTATTAAGGAAAAATAGGATGTGTCACATTAGTTTTTTTCCGCTGTATTTTTTTCTCGATAAGCTGCTGATTTGGTAAAAACTAGAGTCAATGTTATAATAAGGGTCCCACCAAGAGTGAAGCCAAAAGTACCAGTCGAGCTGTCAAGCGGGGTACCAAACACATTTCTTTGCTTTATTTAATACATTGTGGTTTTTATAAGTTATACCAAGCACCTGTTTGAACATTTTTCAGGTTCTATAATTGTTTTTGTCTCCCAGAAGCTCCGTTATTGACATGAAAATTTTCACTTCTGAATGAAAGTCATCCGATGCTAACGCAAAAAAATCTGGTTGACGTTTACTTTTACGAAAAATAAATCACAAACAGTGCTGCTTGTTCGCAACATTTTCTCTTGGCGGGACTCTTATTAGAACATCGACTCTGGTAAAAACGACGGGATCCGCCAGGATCGAATTTCCAACAAATGATGGAGCCACAACAGTAGATCAAGCGCTTGGGAGGAAGCAATTCAAACAAGCTCTACCAGAGGCGCTAGCATTTCATATCCAGCCCGACAAGCAATTCTAGATAAACGTTGCAAAATTTCCTATCTGCATTGATCGATTCTCTTTGTTGACTTTCTCTTTCGTTAATAACTCTGCTGCATAACCTTTCCCTGTTGTATTTAACGTTTTGGGCGCTAGATAAGAGCCTCCTTTAACAAACTATTAGGTAAAAATAGCGCAAAACCTGTTTGCATAGCAGTGGTTATCAAAAGAGACAGTAGATGTTCATCGAGAATTGGGATCGCTATTACACGTCACGATGGCTTTTTGGGTCAAAAATAGTACAGCTTAGGAATCACGAGAAGGCTGGCTAATTACAGATCATGCGGGTGAGACCCTCCCTTTTTGTTTGTTTACATTATTGTTTCAATCAGTATTTATAAAAACTTCAACAAATAATGTACTAAAATTTTAATTGAGGAGCTCGGCTAGCTTGGTGGCTGCCACTTTTGCTTACTGAGTGGAAGATCATGAAAGTTCCTCCTAATCTAATCTAATCTAATCTAATCTAATCTAATCTAATCTAATCAGGATCAGGGAAGGAGCTTGGGAGTGAGGTTTCATTGTCCGATTAGAGCGTTGACCCCTAGTAGCTTATGGAGCATGTAAAAAGAAAATCATATTCCTGAAGGTTCAATTCAAATACGATTTTCAGCAAAGTTTCAGCTGATAAAATTTCACATTAGTACAGATAGCAAACGTTTCCATTAATCTTACGGCAAATGACTAGAATGATGAGAACACAAAGTTCATTTTTTCCCATAGAAATTCCTATATAAACTTCAAATGGCTAATGCAGTATGAGTTCTCATACAAATGAGCTGAAATTTTGGGAGAATTATCAGGACCTGATTTGAATTCGATTCAAATTCGATGAACCAGTTTGATGGAGTTGAATTGATATTTTGAACCACCCTAAGCTATAACCCAACCGATTTTTACGCGCGTACATTTTTCCAATTTTCTTTTTCTATGATGAAGTTAAAGCCCAAATAACATCAAGATGCCTAACCGAAGTCAATTTTGTGCTAACTATTTAGTTTTCAATCCGACAAGTAGGGCTTTTCCGCTTCTGCTGTCATTGTGCTTGGGCCTTTAGAAATTTTTTATAGGTACCATGTATTTCTTTGATTTTTTCATGTTTTTTTCAAAACCAGTTGCATCATGCTAGGTTTTATTTCAATATAGGAAAAAATGAAAATGAGACCGCTTAAAAAAGGGTTGTGTGTATTAAAGTGTATTTGAACTTGTTTTGAAATGATGTTATTTTTAATATGGTGAAAAAAATCAAACTGTGAGAACTTGTTTTTGTCGTAAACAAATTTTAGGCAAATTAAAGTCATTTCAACGTTCAATATTTTGACTACAAATGTGCAATTGAACTTTTCCGAAGAGAAAACAAAAATCACGAAGTTTCATACTTTTGTCCGATACTGTTCAGCACTCCCCCAAAACCTCGAAACGACCTCCGATCGCATATAGCTGCTAACCAGAGTCGACTACTAGCGTGGTGCACAAATTGCACCGGTCACAAATCATTTATGCTACTCGTATGCGCCATGCGCCACACGGTAGCCGTCTTTGGTTTTAGAAACATTGAATGGATGTTGGGTGAAAACAACAAAACAACAATCTACGAATCGGTGGGCGGAAAATATTATGCACCCAAGCTGATGTCCATCGAAAAACCCAACCAAACGTGCGGCTCAGACGGTGGTGAATGTTATCTGATATGACGCCATACGAGGATATAATTCAAAATGGCAGGGTTTGAACTGATTTAGATTATCAAATCCAAACAAAACAAAATTAATATTCAATAAAATCAAAGCTCATGCGCAATTGAGGTTGCACTCAATATGAGTCACGTTTGGAACGGAACTGTCTGCATTCGGGTGGAATATTAACCATCGTTGGGTTGGTAGTGACACAACAATAACAAATGCACGATTGCACCTGACGACGTGGACTAATTAATCGAAACACCGTTGTTTGATTAGTCGTCTGCCCATTGTGCGGTAAAGTTCATTCTGTACCACATGATCAGATTCTGAAGAAAAAAAATTATTATTAATTACTTTATTTTATTAGACACAATTGAATGAACTTTAGACAGGATTAGGATTTGAAATATTTTGACAGCGATTTGTTTTGAAAGTACACTTTTTTTTAAACTTTATTAGAGAGATTTTTAGCCGTTGGCTAGTTCATCTCTATAAAATGGGAGGCCCCAGAGGGGGGTTCTGACAGCAAATTTTGTTACGGAGTTGGCTTACAAT